AAATATAATCATGCATTTAAAGAATTATATAAATGCTACTCAGCAGCGATAATCATTGGGATATCAACGGCTTCTTGTGAGGCTTCGTTCTCTACATTAAAGTATTAATGGCGTATGAAAAAAGAATAACGCAGAATTTATCTTTTAGTTCATTTATATTAAAATTTAAAAATAAAAATCGCCGTATTCTATTATAGTAATATTTTGTTTTGTATATGCATTATAGTATTATTTTGTTTTGTATATTCATATTATAGTATTATTTTGTTACTAAATTTTTAATAAAAATAGGAAAAAATTTATATGAATGCGTAATTATTTGTTTGATTTTAAAAAAATAGTGGCCCCCCCAAGTAAGCACTTGGCCCCCCTAAGTGAAAATTCCTGGCTACGGCCCTGGCTCTATCTTTAACGTAGTAATCCATATCGTTATCTCTTTATTTATTTCTACCAATTTAATTGTATAAAAGCCTAAAATCTTAACTGTATTACCATCTAATTGTTTCGCTATTATTCTTCTAGCTGTGAATCTTTTTTTTGGAAACCATTTATTAAAATCTTTTATACTCATCAAACAAATCTCAGCTCCTGTATATAATAAAAAACATGCTTCACTTTCACATATTCTTATTTTATTCCTCGGACATTTATTTCTCTTTATCATCTTTTCTAATTCTATTCTATATATATCTTCTGTTTCAATTTCTCTTTCATTAAAATTAATTATACTGGTTTCATTTATACTTAAATTATAATTAAAAAAAATCAGACGAACTATTAAATATTATCCTTAATTATATCCCTCTTGTGAATAACCTTCTAAACCATACTTGGAACATTTCAAATTTCTGTTAAAAAATCCTCTACAATTCGTATCTATGTGTCCGTTACGCCCACATTTTGTACATTTAAGGTGCCTAGTTAACTCACATTGTCGTGATGTGTCCTTGCTGACCACAAGAAAAACAAATAATTGGTTTATAATTATTTACTTGTTTAATCCTATCCTCATTTCTTATCATATCTTTCTTTTCCACTTCTTTATTCTCAATCCTTATATACGATGTATATCTATGATTAAGCCTAATACAAAACTAACAATTATCAATGAAATTAAAATCCTCACGTTATCCATTAACAAATTCCACAAATTAATCTGCATAATTGTATATTACACCGTTTTATATAGAATCCATAGAGCTAGGAGCTTATTATCGCGTAAGGATGATAAAGATTTTTATTGCTCTTATCTATTTAACACTAATGGCTAGTGTTACCTGTTAATGTGAACAGATATTAAATATATAAACCATAATTTTTTGAGTTTGGATAAAATATAACAAAGCTCTTTTGAACTAATTCAGAGAAGGAAAAGTTTAAAGAATTTGAAGGTAGTGTGAAAATGATACCGCTAAATCTATCCACAAATGGGAATTTGGCGACTTCTATTAATAATTTAAGTATATTATAATCTAAATTTCAAAAAAAAACAAAATAAAACTATACAAGTACCTTCCTATTGAGATCTTTCTTTTAAAATGTTCAGAAATGATGGATATCTAAATTTGCTTTACAATTCTTTCCACAAATATATAAATAGAATGAGGATAAAAATAATTTTGAATTTGTTAGCTGGATGTTACAAATGGTGCTTAATTATTTATTATTAGCATAGATTAAAACAATATCAATTCCTGGAAGAATTACAGAAAGCAATAAATTTCTTGGTTATGGAGTTTGGACAGCACTTATATGTAACATTCTGTCATATGTGTGGATTCCTACCAACCTTAATACATATTAAAAAGTGGTTTTCATTTCAATATTTCAGCAGAAAATCAAATAAATATTATTTTTTTTAAATGCTAAACATGGATATCCCCAGTTAGATGAAATCAAACAGATACTTAAAGCTGCTCAGCAGTAATAACAAGTTTAATTTCAAAGTGGTAAGGTAAGACCACATATAAGATAGGTTTCATTGCAAAAGAATTTACATATAAAATGTGGTGAGCATTAGAGATCTGCAAAGCTTGGTCCAAGCCCAATTGGACTTCTGCAAGCCCTATTTATAAAAATAATTTCAGTTCTGCCTAGGTCAAGCTTAATATTTTCAAATATTATTCAATTAGGTTAAATAAATTGATATACAATATTTTTCACAATATAAAAAATTTCTTCAGGATCAGGTGGGACTGATTTATTTTTTAATATTGGGCCAGGAATTAAAAATTAGACCTGACGTGGAACAACAATGAGCATTGGACTTAAGTATTAGGTTTGCTTGCACAGCTGCTGGGCTGATGTGTCAAAACAACCCATGGTAGGATCATTAAAAATATAAAACACTCATGGTCCTGAAAATATGAATGTTATATTATCTTCCTTTCTTGTATGACTGAATATGAACGATCTTCATAGGCATCAGGTAAGGTCCACATTAAAATATTTTTTATGCCTAGGTCCAGTCCATATCTATTAAAAAAAATCCCAAGTGCAGACCAAACTTTAAATAAATTTAATATATTTTATTTAATAAAAATAAACAATATAAGTGTATTTAGACAATCATTTTGTTTATAATACTGAAATTTATTATTAAAAGAAAAAAATGAAACTATTTCTTTAAGTTAGCAACTGTTTTAGGCTGTGTCCAAAGTATCAAAAAAATTTAATCGCACAATTTGCGCAAATCTAGCGAGAAAAAAAATATAAGCCATTTTTAATGGAAAATTAAAATTTTGGCCTAAATCATTTTTTGGCATAGAAATTTGAAAAAATCATTTAGGTCAACATTTTAATTTTCCATTAAAAATGGCTTATATTTTTTTTCGCTAGATTTGCGCAAATTGCACTATTAAATTTTTTTGATACTTTGGACACAGCCTTAAATAAGCTAAATTTAAATTTTAGGCCCAAGCTCAGCCTATTAAAAAAAGCCAGGTCAAATAAAAAATAAGAAATTAACATGGGCCAGCCCTAGAAAGTCTGCTGAATATCACAATTAGTGCTGAAAATCGACTATCTAATAGTTAGTTGAAAAATTTGACTAAAAACTTTAAATTAGTAGACTAACAGTAAAATTATTAATTTTTATTAGTTTTAAAAAATCTATCTAATTTTCTATTAATAAAAATAACAATTTTTAAAAATATTAGATTTGATATGCGCCAGGCACTAAAAAATTCAAAAAAATGAAATATAATAGAAATAAAAATATAAGCAAATCCTCAAAATTAGTTTACTAATTTAATAGCTAAAGTTATTAGTTAATTTCTATTAACAACACTAATCACTAAAATAGAATAAATATAAAAAAGGATTTATTAAAGAAAATAGGGAAGAGGAAAATATTTGATTCATTTTTATATCATATTTAATAATAAATAGAGAATAAATATCATTAAATTGTTGAACACTTATATTTAACAGGGACCCAGAGTGAACCGTAACAAACCGTTAAACCATTATATATATCTGAACCATAATTGTAACCAAACCAATATAATTATTTTTTGACCTTTAACCAGTTCAGTTTTTATATTTTAGAAATGGTAAAAATTCAGAATTAGATAAACTTACTCTTATAGTACTGGCAGTTTCCGAAACACAAGTTTCTGTAGAAAGGGCTTTTTGGGGCTAATCCATTTATATTAGAAAATATATTACTTATATGTTAAAATAATATATTTAAAAATGAGTAATTTTGAATCTTATATATTTTTTTATATATAATTTATAGATGCTTATAATAAAAATAAATTAGAAGATGGTGTTGCTTCAATAAGAATTTCTAACCATATGAACCTTTATTTTATAATTAGCTGAACCAAACCAAGCCTTTATAAATTTCTTTTTCATTATAATTTTTTACATACTGAACCATAACCAAACTGAACTGTTATAAATAACAGTTCGGATCCCTGATATTTAATGTGCAACATTATAATAGAGAATAAAATATTTTGAATTCAAATTTGCTACAAAATATAACTGTTAATTTAGTGATTTAACAAGTCATGATTTATTATAATACAATAGCAAAAGTGGTGTTATGCCTAAACATACCTATATTTTCTGTTTTAGAAGGTTTTCTGTGTTTTCTTGCATTTCAGTTCTCTGCTCTCAAAAGAATAAAGCCGTATTTATGAAAAAAATGGACAACCCATATTTGAATTTTTTTATTTTTATGCCCAAGATGAAATTTTTTGGCTTGCATTTAAAATGCTTGGAATTATTTTTGGCCTAGATTTTAATTATTTCTAACATTTTAAAGTAGTGTTGTTAAACAACTCAATTTAAGCTAATTTTTTAAAATCAATGAACTAATTATTTTATCTAGAAAAATATTATGCAATTCTAAAAATTTTAATTTGAGATGTCAGAAAGATTTGTATTTGGTTATCCATTATATCTCAAGGCTTGAGCAATATATTCCTTGTCAAAATATTGAGTTACAAATTAAACAACCCAAGCCAGCAATTCTCTTATTTTGAAGTAAATTTAAAAATATGATAAGTAAATAAAAATATAATGATTAATTTAAGAATTTTTTGTATCATTTTTTTATGAAAAAATATTTTTAGGTTTGATCTAATCAGGGAACTCATAAATTTATCATAAGTTGTCTAGTTATAGTTGAGAATGACATCACAACATGAAAATCATTCAATATGTTCATTAATTTGGTCTTCCATCATTGCTATCAAAATTTTAAAAAATTTCAGTTTCATTTGTGTATTTCCTCCTAATTAAAACCTAATTATTTAAAAGATGTTATTATATATGCAAAAATGTCTCATGGAATTTAATTAACAAACTTATTTTTATGAATGTCAATTATTATAGAATTAAAAGAATCAAATTCAATATATATAGTACTAAGATTTTTATATTGGTAGAAGTTACTAAGACATTCCTATTTATTACTTTAATGTTATAAAAAAAATATTTTCTTTACTAAGGTGAAATATTATGAAACAAATCATATTTTATCATTAGATATTTTAATAGACAATGCACTATAGTGTAACTTATTTTTAGATGTATAATTAATATAAGATCAAATCAGACCATAGCTAATTTATTAATCCATACATAATATTTAACATGTTATGCCAGAAATTCATAAGGTATTGGTTCTAAAACTTCTAAAGGTGTATTTTTAGTTTTTACCAAATGACCTACTCGTGGTTGCACTGGCTATAATTTATAAAAAATAAAAATTAATACAATATATAAATACTTGTCTTTTTAAACAAATTTTGATATTTTTCTCTTTGGCTTCCTTTTTTAATTTTTCATTACGATGTAATCGTTCCAGAAAATCTTTTCTGCAATCTGAATGTTTAACATGTTCAACTCTAATATTAATCTTTTTGGGCAAAATTCGACCTCTGAAATGCAATGTGATTATATAAATAAATGATTAAAAATATACTTTACTCTTTTATTAACAATTACACCTAAAGCATGTTGAGTAACATTAAACACTTTTCCAGTTCTACCATGGTATGATTTGTGAGGCATTCCTTTGTGAAAAGCTCCATTGCACTATATTATCATATTGAATATTACAATTATTTTTAATTTACTTTAATATCGACATATTGACCAATTTTATAAACATGCAAAAAGGTTGATAAAGGTTCTACCCCTTTTTTACCAAATCTTTTAGCGAATAAATACCTTGTTCCTCGTCTATAACCTTTAGAATTTGTCATATCTATTTATTAATATTTATATATAATAGAAACACACATGTTACCGAAATTTCACTAGGATATCTAAGATTTTGAAAAAAAAGAGACAAAATTTTATATTTCCAAAATATTTATTAAATTTTGATTTCTTAAAAAATTATTTTTATTTATTTTTATGAAGGAAATTTTTATTATTACTATTATATCAATTAAAGTTTGAAAAACTATAATGAATTTTATTTGTAATTCTTTTGGTATATATATACATTTATATAATTATCCAATTTAACTTCTAATATAACCTCGATAATATAATATTACATGTCGGAAAGATATAATATAATATACAAATAACGTCCTTTTAAAATAAATAAAGTGACATTTTAAAATATATCTTAACCTTTACAATAATAAATATTCAGATGTAACATATTCTTTCACACCAAGTTAAGATCGTCTACCAATCTTTTTATTTACCAAGTTCAAGTTCATCTATTAATTTTTTTTTTGTTGGCTTTAGTTCCTAAAACAAGATAAAAAAGTAGAAACCGTACTAAAACAAAACCAGAAAAGTAGAAACCGTGAACAATATAAAGAAGAAAAAAAAACAACTAAATTGGCCAAGATCCAAAAATAAAAGATATACTTACTGAAAATTCACGATCTAAATAACCTGGCAATTTTTATTATCAAAAATAGTTTTATAAATCTTTTATTAAAAAAAAATCTAATTATTTTCATACAAAAAAATAATTATTACTTTTATAATATTCTATATCAGAAAAAATATATCATCACATGTAATTTTTATATCCAATCAACCTTATTTAAATCGGTTGATTGGCATTTCGCGTAATAAACATATATATCCGTATATACAAATACGACAGTTCCCTTGTTGGATTAACCCGTTTGCCTTGGTTCAATGTTATTCTTGATTTGATTTCCTCTGGTTCTTCCCTTATTCGTAGTTGGTCGGGATGTTTTAATACGGTTTTGTACGTTTATTTTTTTCTTCTTTTTCTTCTTCCCTTATCCAGGATTGTGATGGCGATTCTAGTTTTTCAACTAATTGTTCCCACCATCACTGTTTTATTTTCGCTTGTTATTTTATCATCATTTATCTGTAGATCTATAGCGATTTTTGCGATTCGTTGTTAGAATTATTCTCAATCGTAGTTCACTTGAAAAGTTTTACGTACCACTACTATTGAAGTACTCCAGGTTACTCTTGTTGTTGATGGATCTATTTTCTTTATTATATTCACGTTACGATTATCATTATATTTATGTCTATTGTTAATCATATTGATTTTTACATTTGTTGGTAACGATAAGTCAAATTCTATAATCCACGGAAATCCATATAGGCTGTGTCAAATTTATAATCCACGGAAATCCAAATAGGGTGTATCAATCATTTTGATAGTGCCCTTTATCATTATCATAAATTCTATAATCCATGAAAATCTAAATAGGTTGCATCTATCCTTTTGATAGTGCCCTTTATCATTATAAATTCTATAATCCATATAATCTAAATAGGCTGCATCTACCTTTTGATAGTGCCCTTTATCATTATCATAAATTCTATAATTTTGTTTAAGTTTTAACGGTTGGTCTTCGTCTTTAGTATTTGGGTAGTAAACATAGTTCCCCGGCGATTAATTGATCGCGAATTCTTAGTTCTTTATTATGGATTAAGTAGGGCCGCGACTTAATCTAATGAAATAAATTCCTCCTCTAACTTGTCAATAGAAAATTTTGAGGATTTTTTATGTGTCTATAGTCGTCAATAGCCCATTTATCTCATTCATCTTTTATCCATAATTGCTAAATCAATTTATTTATTTTTTTAAACAAAAAAAATTATAATTCTATATAACATTTAACATGACCGAAGACCGAAAACCACGCGACCTTTTACTTTGTCGCCAAATATTAAATCGATTAAAGTTGAAAAAACGATAATGAATTTTATTTGTAATTCTATTGGTATATATACATTTACATAATTATCCAAATTAACTTCTAATAATATGCAATTTGATTAACCTCGATAATATAATATTACATGTCGGAAAGTTATAATATAATATACAAATAACGTCCTTTTAAAATATATAAAGTGACCTTTTAAAATATATAAAGTGACCTTTTAAAATATATAAAGTGACCTTTTAAAATATATCTTAACCTTTACAATAATATATATTCAGATGTAACAATTACTTATAAAATAAAACAAAAATTTTATAGTGAAATCATTCCATATATATGATAGGTCTATATTAAATAAGGGTTAACTATTATATATTATTAATGTAAAATTATTATTATTTAATAAGTCCCTAATAAAATCGGAATCAAGGTAAATTAAATATATTCCAATTTAAAATAATTTACTGAAATTGACGCAGTACACATTGTAGAATTTATTTTTGGATAAATAATTTTTAAATAAAAATTTCTCCTGAAACAAGAGATTCTGATTTATCATGGAGTTCATTTCAAATAATATATATATAGATATAAAGGAACGGTTCCATACTTTTAGATTATAAATTTTGGATATATCTCATTTTAAATTGTATTATTTAATATTTTAAAGTAGGTCCTTTATGTCCTTTTTGGCATCTTAACTAGAAGATAATTATTTATAGTTCTTAAAATATGTGATACATGATTTGTTGAAGGTTAAATAAAGCCTCGCCTGATATTCCTCATTATCATTTAACTGAAAATAAATTTAGTTTGGTTAAAAATTAACAATGATCTTAGTGTTGTAAAAAAGCCTAATCTGCGATATTTAAAAACGGTCCGATTAAGATTGTAACTAAAATCATATTGTGTAAGACTCAAGATTTGGTAAGAAGAAACCTAAACCTTTCTGTAATCTATGAGCAAAATCACATGGCCAACACATTATTACTTTTGTCATAATCTTAATCGGGCCTTTTTTTAAAATCAACCCAAATCGGTTTTTTAAATAACACTAAGCCCTCTATACGTTTTTGGACATGCCGCACGTAACTTTACACACAAAAGTCTCCCTAAGTGTTTCTTAAACATCTATAGGCTCAGTGACATAATATGTCATTGTATAGGCTGCAATAAAATCATTTCGACTATTTAAAATCACCTATTCTAAAAATGGCTTTCCAAAAAAAATTTAATGTACAATTCTTATTTTAATTGTTATTTATTAATATTGTAGATACGACTCCCACCTGAGGTCAACAGAATTTTATATGTTCGTAATTTACCATATAAAATTACTGCAGAAGAAATGTATGATATATTTGGGAAGTATGGCGCAATTCGACAAATTAGACTGTAAGTTACATCATAAAGATTGTGTTTAAATTATTCATTTTTACCCTATTTTATTATTTTAGTGTACATGAATGATTTTGATATATCAACCAACTTAAGCACATTAAAACTTCATAGCTTTATTTTGCATATATTTAGTTTCCTTAAGCTGGGCTATTAATATGAAGGAATTTAGAAATTTATATAATAATTATTCAAAATAATGATTATGAAAATAATATATTATTTAAATTGGAGTTCTTCAAAATGTGGCCCAATTTGACTTGATAAAACTTTTATACAAGTTGCCTATCCTATTTACACAGACAAGCCTATTTAAAATTTTAAATTACACAAAATTTCCTGCCATTACATTTTAATCGATATCTAATTTTTCTCAAAGTTTATTAAGACACTTATAACTATTTCAATGATAACTGTTTTATAAATAAATTTGCATGATTTTTTGTGAATTTACTATATTCATAAATTTACTCTTTAGTTTAACAGCTCTTAAATTCAATGGTTGTAATTTATTTTCAACTAGTAATAAAATTACTAGCTAGAAATTGAAAAGAAAAAATCAAAAATTTAGTGCCAAAGCTGGCCTATTAAAATGTTATGAATAATCAAATTTTCAAGCTTATTTTAGATTTGAGCCTGGCCTAATTTTTTTTTTATAAACAACATAAATTAAACACATTGTGAAGATCTGTGCACTAAAAATTGATATTTGTTCTTTATCACCTAAATTATCATTTTATTTTGATAAAACATTTTGTATGTTATTTTTTTCGATTGGCATGATTTAAAATAAAGCAGGTCTAGAGCTTTGGGCAAAATCTAGGGCTCTAGTGGGAAGTAAAAAGGTCACAATGTGAGAGTGGTATTGAAACTATATTATAAGAAATATTTTTTTTAAATTTATTTAAAAAGTTTGTGTTTAAATGATTGAAATTATTTTAAAATCGAATTTACAAACAACCTAATTACCAATCTTCTAAAAGATCTAACATCAAATGATAAATCCCATCATCCAGCTTTGTGAATGCTATTAGACAGCTTCAAATTAATTTTATTTATGATTACTTATTTAAGGAAGACAATTGGTCTTCGAAGATGGCCAACTTATGGGCATTGATATGAAATAAATTATACAACTTTGTCACTTCTTATGCTTAACACACGTTATTACTTTTGTATATAAAATCAGTTTTAATAGGTTTTTGCCAAAGTGTAGTTTAATTTTACTCCTCATCTTTTTGTTTATATATGACATATTTCTATTTGTAAGCTGTACTAAATATATTTACCCGATTGGCACTGATTTTGGACTTTTAAATATTGGATCGGTAAATATTTTTTTTAAAATTTACCCAATAACTATTATAATTTTATTTTTGAACTAATTTCCTTTTCTCATAATAAATCTTCATAACTCTTATAAAAAAATGTGAAGGAAATAACTTATTAGTAAATAAAAATCATGTAAATTAAAATATTATTAATTAATAGAGATATCTAATTTCAATTATTAATTGATATTTAATTAGTATTTACTTTTTATTCAAATAAAGATACATATTTATACTATATATAATATATATGTGTTTTTATTTGTTATGTAGATTTGAAATATTTGAATAAAGATATAATTAAACAGAAAGAAAAGAAGATAATTGGTTTATTAAACAGAAAATTTAATAAGAATATTTATATATATTAGTATATAAATTTATATTTATTTATATTAAGGTTAAAATAGATAAGTGAAATCATCATTAAAAAAAATATTTAACTATATGTATAATCATTTTTAAAGGCTATACTTAATAAAATAAGACATATTTAATATATATATTATATAAATGCAAACCTTTCTTTATATTAAAAAATAAGTATATTTTTAGAATTTTATAAATGTGACATTTCTTGATTTTTAAGAGCTGAGATAAGTGAATATTCTTAAAACGTTTTTAAAAGAAATTTTTACACAGATTTTTATTATTTATATTTTATTATATAAAACAAAATCAATGTAAATATCGGTATCATTGTTTAAAATAAATATTGGGTCAGTGAATAAATTGTGGGTCGATCCAGCCCTTGTATAACATAAAGATAAATTTAAAACAATAGAATATCTTAATATTTAAAATAAAACTATAATTATGTTATATATATGTGCGTGTTCTTATAAAATTACAGCTTATTTTTCATTTAGCTTTTAATTGAAATACTTTTTAAAAAATTAGCGGCAATACTCCGGATACGAAAGGTACAGCTTTTGTGGTTTACGAAGATATTTTTGATGCCAAAAATGCGTGTGATCACTTATCAGGATTCAATGTTTGTAACCGGTATTTAGTCGTTCTTTATTATCAGACAACCAAGGTATTTTATATAATTTTATTTGCTTTATTACATTTCCCATGTTATTTTTTAGGCTTTCAAGAAATTAGATCCAGAGCTAAAAGAAGAGAAATTGCAAAAAATGAGAGATCAATTTGGATCAGAAACACCTGGGTTATGAATAGAGAAGAGGAGATTATTTAGATTTCATATGTTTATATACATTATATTTGATTATAAGAATTAGGAATAAATTATTGGGAATTAAAATTTTTTTGTATCATAATCCTTAAATACATTGATTGTTTAAAATAATGTATTTTTTTGTCATTTACACCTTCTATAATTAATTCAGGCTTAAGGTTCCGCATTAATCTTATTAGCTAAATTATAAATATTAAATTGACATTTAATTTTTATCAAATCCAATTAAACTGTGAATCTAGGTTTTGAATATTAGATTTATTTTTGGTTAAAATATAATAATCTTATATAAATCTTTTGTGTAATCAGAGTCAGAGTTGTTAACGCTCCTTTTTAAAAGGAGCTAGCTCCCGCTCCAATAATGGAGCGCCACTCCGTAACCGCCCCTTTGATTTTCAATTTTTTAGAAGGTACACTAAACAAAATCATATTTTTATCGAAAGGTTTTATTTATATTAAATGATCTATCAAAATATTTATAATCTTTTAGGGTCCTTCCATGTCAAATCAATCATTTTTTGGCGACCCCTTTATTTTCGAAAAATTGTAGGTTGGTTATATATGTTCACATTAGATCACAAACAAAATCTTAGCGCATTAGCAACTATTTTTTAGCTAAATTATAAATATTAAATTGAAACCATATTAATTTTTATCAAATCCAATTAAACTGTAAATCTAAGTGTTTAATATTAGAATTATTTTTGGTTAAAATGTAATAATCATATATAAATCCTTTGTGTAGTCAGAGTTGTTAATGCTCCTTTTAAAAGTAGCTAGCTCCCGCTCCCGCCTCTACCTTCTCAAAAGGAACTAGCTCCCGTACTCACTACTTCATTTTTAAAAGGAGCTAACTCCCGCTCCTAGTGTTGTTAAACGGCTCATTTTGAGCCTATTTTTAAAAACGGCTAACTCAATATTTTAGCCAGAAAAATTTTGCCTAAGCCTCGAGATTTCGCTAATAGATGTCCAAACCTTTGTTCCTTCTACAAACAAAATCTTCAGGCTTGCGTAATATTGTTCTAGATGAAATATTGAGTTAGCCGTTTTTAAAAATCGGCTCAAAACGAGCCGTTTAACTACACTACCCGCTCCAATTAATGGAGCGCCACTCCATCGGTATTCATCCTCTATTCCCCCTTTAAGATATTATACAAATCCATTGAAAAATTTACTTCTTTTAAAAGTATATAATAATCAATTTTGTTTTATTTTATTATAAGAAATTAAGCATCAAATATAACAAGATGAATAAATAACAAATTGGCATATAATAAAATCCTGGTTGAAGTAAAATATGGAAATTATAACTGTAAAACAAAATTTTCTTTATAAAATTAAATAACAGCCATAAATAATTAAAACAGATAATGATGTACTGTATATAACTATAAATAATGTAAAGAACACAAAAATTAACGATTTTACGATTTTTTGCTATTTGGGTTCCTTTAATCAGGAAAAATATATTAAGAAATAGGGCTATGGAAGGAAATAATAGGAAAAATATTTTGATCAATGCAATATAGCGATCTATAGAAGTCACAATTATTGAAAACGGGAAACAACTCTTGATTGAAATATTCAGATAATCTGCTATTTTGGTATATTTATTTATAAGTTGCGATATGATAGGTTTAAATATAAAATTTGTGACAGTGGAATCGACACCACAATTATAAGAATCATCATTTAGAACTTGAGATAGATCATCGATGGATTGATTTCTAGAATTAGAATATCTTAAATTGAGAGTGAGAAGAAAAAAAAAGTATAAGATTGATATCTCTACTCCCTAAATAATAATTTCTTTTATTTTTGATGTCAATAATATTTTAAGACTAAGCTAAACCCCCCTCCCCCCTTAGAATATTCAAATCAATTTTATGCAGCTAATATGATATAATTTATTGATACCCATTTATATAACTTTTTTAAATCACAGTTTGCGATTCATAATTTCCTTTTAATTAGATCCGAATAGGTTGTTATGTGACTAAAAAGAGCTATATAAATATAATTTAAAATGAAAATAATACTGGTTCTTTTTACATGAAAATTTTAATATTCTCATCCAATTTTAATTCTACAACAATCCAGTCACTAAAGGCAGCTTTTATTAAAAGTATCAAAGCGATGATATACGTAATACTCCGCAAAATATGAGTAAATCTTTTATGCTTTTTTAAAAAAATATTAATAATAAAAATAAAGTAAAAGAAAAGAGATTATAATATGTAAATTAATAATCATAACACTTAAGGAAATATTTATTCAATTTTCTAAGGAATTAGTCTATCCTTATTAAATATATAAATCCAAAATTTGATATCTTAATGGATTTAATATCATCGATTGATTTAGTTTAAGGTTCCAGCCTCGATTATCGATTTTGCAGCGATTTATTTTTCCTATTTTTATTAAAAATTTGTAAATGCAAATAATTATGATTATATACAAAATAATATAATATAATTAGTATTTATGCATTTAGACAAAAGACCAGGGGCTTCGAGAATAGAGATCTTTGAGTTCAGAGTTTTATTATAAAAGTAAAATATTTCACTAAGAACCTCAAAATACTCATTAATGATATGAGATGTTTCCAAATGACCAATCAAGACTATATTCTAAAAATCCTATTATTGTTAATATATTTAGAAAATACGTTAAAACGGCTGAAGAAATTGTATAATGCGCTTGCTAAATTTTAAAAAATATAAAATTTCAGGAGATTGTTATATCAATTATTAAAAACAAGTTGCAACTTTTGATTGAAACAATTTATATAAGGCACCTTTTTTATTAATTATTGATGCAAAGTTCCTCCATTTCGACCAGACATGACATTTGCACCATCATAAATCTGGCTTATTACATCATAGGATTTAATCTTTAAATCTTTAAGTTGTCTTAAAAAGCCATTTGTAATTTTCGGCAGAAAGACTATAAAATCAATTATTCCATTTGAATTCTCTAAGATTTTTGCACAAAAAAATATTCTAATAAATAATTATGATCAAATTTACACAAGTTTCTACATCTTTTTATCATCCTAAACAAAAAACGATCCAACACAATTTCTGCCATATTTAATATGACTTCATTTTGAATTTGAGGTGTTGTGTATTGGGTAGTATTTTTTGTATTGCTCATAAATTTTTTTTATCTATTTAGAAGGTGTATGAAAACATTGCTATAGAAAGTCCTGGAGAATAAATTATATTTTTATCTGCAGCATATTGTAGTGGAACCAGACCACTAAATGAGAGCTCTTGTATGCTAAGAAATTATATCAAATCAATTATAGATTTCAAATAGTATCGAATACGCTCAACTTGGTGTTTTATCATCGATATTTTTTATATTAAGATTTTTATGTAGATTAATTGTTTTACATTTAATGGTTAATGAGCGAATAAATATTATATAATTAATATTTTTCTATAATTTTGTTGTTTTTTCATTTTGATTTAATAGTTAATGGCGAATGAAAATTTAGTAACTAATATTTTTTTTAAATTTGAGGGCCGGAAATATTTTTGGAGGTCATATCAGGGGATCAAGTAAAATTCAAAAGCCAGGTTTAGGGGCAAATTTTTTTCAATGGGGGCAGACCCTGGGGCCTTCCCTTAGCCCTCCTTGTTGCTACGGTTCTGCCAAAGCCACATTAAAACACATCTTTAAAATCTATTTTTGTAGATCTCAAGATTATATTCCTAACTCAATTTAATTTTTTTTTAAATGCCTTAATTTTATTAATTTCAATAATTTACTAATTTGATATCCAATATATTAATGTTTTCATGATTTATGCTTAATCCGTGGTTTATATTAGATTTCTTTTTCTTTCCATTAATCCATCGATAATAACTGCCTGTTAAATTTTTGGAAAATGTGTTTGTCACTCCTTTTGTCCCTTTAACATTACATTTATTTTTCCTGAGTCGGGAAAGAATAGTTATACGATGTGGTTTAATAATACATCGATTTTGCATGTCAAAGTTTTGGAAAAGACGTATTTTATCTTTAACATTAGTAGTAGTATTATCCTTGATTGCTAAATTTTATAATTCAGAGATAAAATTTAAAAAAAATTAATTAAGGGTATTGTATTGAGTTAGCCTGATTTATAGTAAACGAGATAATAGAGCAACATCTCGCGGCGAATTTTGAAATTAAAAAATGCAGCTTTGATTAGAGGTCTGCAAAGTAATATTTTTGCGACCCGAGCGACCTGAGCCCGAATTTAAAAAATATTTTTGTCTGGGCCTGGAGCCTTTATAATTTTTTTATATAAATATTAATCTGATTTTTTAAAAGTGTAGGGGAGACCTGGGTAAAGCGATTGACGGGGTAACAATGTTAACGCGAATAACTTTTTAACCATTGAGTATAAAGACCTTAAATTTGGTGTGAAGATGTATTTTTATATCTAATTTCTTACCTATGTTCATCTTTTAAAAAACTTACCTGGTTTTATATATTTTGTCAAAAAACTGTTTTTTAACCAAAAAATATAAAAATCAATCTCTAGTATATTTTGCTTTTAGTAAAATTTACATATCCTCAGGATTCAAAACTTGGCACACATGTTCCTTAATGTATTAACTATAAAATAAAATTTATCTGACATCTTTAGCTATATTAGAAGTCACGCAATAACGATATATATAATATATGTCACCTAGGGGTAAAGCTGTTATGGGTAAAACGGTTAAAATATAAAATTATTCACATTAAATTTTTCATTCATTTATTATAATCAAATTAATATTGATATTTAATATTAAAGTTACCAATTGAGCATTATTAAAATTATGAAATTAATTCAATTTATTTAATTAATTATATAGCATTTTAACTCTATGGAACTGGTATTGTTAATTATTAAAATGAAATTGTTTTATTTTATAAATAAACAAGATAAGAGGATTTGCATATCAGCTTGCTAAAGAATATGGCAAATCTTTCCCAGAAAGCTGGACAACTAATGGTATGGCTGGAGAGGACTGGTTTATGGGGTTTAGAAAACGACATTCCCAACTTTCGATTCGTACCCCTGAAGCTACTAGTCTAGCAAGAGCATATGGCTTCAATCCCACAAATGTCAATAAATTTTTTGAAAATTTAATTAAGCTATATAATTCTTATAACTTTGAACCACATAATATATGGAA